TCAAAAGGTAGCCAAAACAAATTCATTCTCACTAATGGAGTCTTTCAACCTCCCCTTACAAGAAAAACACGACATACTTTGCTTCTCAGTTTTGTTATCTCTTTGGACGTAGCCAGCAGATTTTAGCATTGCTTCCAGTTACATATTGATCTCTACCACAGCTTCTCCCAACAGGCAGACTTCCACGTCCTCTCACATGTTGCAGTGTGCTGATTTACTCTTCCAAAGTCTAATTATGTTTCTGTAGGTGCTTATGTCCTTCAAGAGGTATCACTTTCCTAGCCCCAAATTCCCAACAATCCTTTATAGATTTTTTTTTTTAATCATTGTTCTTCCTGAAGCTTCTGATTTTTTTTTCCTCCTCTTCCCATGTGAGTCTTGTGGATTCTTACTTTAAATAGGATTGACTTTTTACACTATAATTTGAACAATTTTCATTGTTTTAAGACAGTTGTGATAAATGTTTGAAATTTATTTTTGCAAATATTGTTACACACTATCTCATTCATCCTATACTAATATGCACTGTGTACTGTATTTCAAATTCTTATTTGAAAGTCTCCAGAATAAGTCTAAGACTTGTTATTGGAGAACTGCACTACGTATTGCATATCTAACAGGATACCAGTGACCTGCAGAAGGTATTAATTTAACTTCGGTAAGAATTAAAAAAAAATCCTTTTTGTACAGTTTTTAAATCTGGAAAAGACCTCTCCTGTTCAACTTGCTTGTGAGGTTACAAAATGTTGAGGAAAAAATACTTCGAAAGCTGTTCCAGCTTCTCCCTTTACTGCTGGAGGCATAATGATAAACTTGTTTAAAAGCTGTTAGTAAAGATAGTATTAATATGATGTAGAAATATGCCCATCTTGGGTGGGAAAGTCTCTCTTCTTTTTTACTTCGGTAGCATTTGAAATCTGGAAATTGCCTAAGTGAGAAGAGAAACTTGATTCAAGTCATATACAAGAATAATGTGTAAAAGTTCCTTATTGGTGCTGTTTGGGACTTGTACCATAGCAGCTGTAGAGAGGTAATCTATCAGTTCTTGAGTGTCTACAAAATGCAACTCTCTAGATAACAGGTTTAAAGTAAAGATTTAATACAGTCTCTATCTACTATGATGTTGCAGTGACAGTTTAAAACTCATTCTCTAAATCTCAGCAGACTTTATAGCTAGCAGTGGGCCCATATAAAGCTTAATGGCATTACAACACATAAATCATCTTTTAAAGATGCTACCAGTAGCTCCAATATTAAATGCAGACAATTGTCTGTGTTATAAATAATTTATCAAATACCATTTCAGATTAGCCTTCCATGCTGAGTTATTTATTTTAGCCTTTACTGTACTATTCCTAAGACACGTTTTGAAAGATCCATTACTGGTCACTTTAATGAACTCGGGGGTCTGTTTCCCCCCGCCCCAGCACTTCGGTACATCTGTGGTGACCGTTACACGGCTGAGCTGGACCTCTTTGCGCCTCTTGCAAGCGCTGCCCATTTGTCATGTAGTGGTAAATGGAGTCGCACATTGGAGCCCTGGGACACATTGTGTGAGGTAGCGATGGAGACGAACAGATAGCTCTATAAAGTGCTGCTTGTCACCGCTGGCTTGCATTGCAGTACATCACTCTTGCTGTAATCTCATTTAAGAAGCAGTGTGGACCCGAGAGAATGGTATTCCCAGTTAGCTTGGTCTTTGCAACCATGAAGTAGGAAGTGCTCCTTTTATATATTCTGAACTTTTAGGGTTTTTTAAGATTAATTATTATAGTGGCTCATTCATGCCCCTGTACTTAAGACTCTGTCAGCACTTTCCATGATAACCCCCTATTTTCTGACTGTAAACCAGCAGTCCTTGCTAGAACTTCGTGTGCAGGATCTCTGTTAAGGAATGTTGTGGGTTTTTTTTCCTTGTGGCTGTTCTGGTCATCTTTCGAAATGATGAAAAGAGGAGGAGGGGCAAACAGCACCGAGACAGGGTTTTCTAAAATTAAAATTATTCCAGGTTCATGAGCTAGCCTGCACTGTATCAGATGAAAGAGCCGAGATTACATTTTAGACTTTCTCGTAGTGTAGTGGATGGCTTAGTGCAGTTACAACTGAGCTCTACTGACTACAGGATATTTTTAGAACTATTTGATAGAGTACACTTTAAAAAGTACATTTTTTTAAGAAAAGTAAATTTACATTGTCTAAAAAAAAAAGACAAAATTAAAAGGGTGAGTGGAACAAATGTCCACCAATCTGCTTTAGTTTTCCTAAGATGTAATAGCTTAAAATTATTCTGGTTTTGCTACTATTTAATTTTTAAAACATATCTATGGATACTTCTTTGTTTTATTTTAGTATAGTTACTTTTAATGTAGTACTATAATACCCTTAGCATGCAACAAATCAGTGAAAGTAGTCTTCTGTCGGTTGAATGAGGAAATACTTGCTTTTATTAACAAAAAGACTGAAGACAGGTACAGGAATTATTTTTACAGCATGGCTGGTTTGTTCTAGTCAGCTTGGTAGAAAGTGTAGTTCAATTTAAAAAAAATTGTAAGACTAATAAAATTGGGAGTGAAATAAGAATTTATGCTATTTCTATAGTTTACTGAAAAAAATGCCCCCTTCCTGGTCAATACCTTAATGAAGCTGTTAGAATAGGAATGCTGTTATTAACAAGCTCTTTTATAGAGGGCCATCGGAGAATGCGAAGTATGCACTGGGAGCAGACGCAATTGTCGCTGAGCTAATTTTGGGCTCCTCTTCAGCTGTACTTGTACACTGGGGCTTGTGCAGCTGCTGTCTGAATCGGAGACGTTCTCGGAGCGGGCTGTGGATCTTAGCATCATCATCTTCACGTGGCAGGATACTGGCAGAGACACTAAGGCCTTTAAAATGAAGCAAATTTTAAAAAGCTGCATGTATCAAAATTGGAATTGAGTAGTTGCTCTTCCATTCATGATGAAGATTTTCCGAAGGTGTGAAACACAAGCAAAACAATGATGAGTGATCATGGTAAACTTAGCCTTCGGTTATGATCATGTTGGGCTTGCTGGGCAGCAACTGCCATGAGGAGAAAACAGTCCACAGTTCTGTCTTCAGAGATGTGTTTCAGCCTTATTCTTTCTTTACTGAACAGGCCTGCTCTAGTCATGGTTTTCAAGTTTGTTCCTTATATACCTTTGAGAAAAATTTGAGAAAAAACATAGCTCTCTGCTATGTACTTGAGCTACTGAAAAGATTAAAGATTGTGTGTGTGTGTGTTTATACAGACACAATCAGTTTTCCTTGCATTCTGACACTTTTGCCAGCTGCCTGGAGCACTAGCACTTGCTCTCTACAGGCTTTGGTGGAGCTGAGGGTGCAGGACATGTCCTCGCTGGTTTTGTTTCTCTTAGCAAGCAATAACAGTGCCCTGGGAAGAGGTGCCGGACAGAGGATGTGACCCCTGTGTGGAATCGTAGGGCTGTGCCAGGTGGTAGCGTATCTTTTGTCATAAGGACAGGCAGATGCTGAGAACAGATGCCTGTACCTGGATTTTACAAGATTTAAAATGATACATCAAGAAAGTTGCTTTGCAACATTTCTTCATGCTCACCATCTTCAGTCACGGTGCGAAAGTATGGGTTTCCTGGCTGTATCAGGTTATTTCTAATAGCACCGGCTCTGATCTGTGACTTTTCAATGAGCTGCCACTGAGACAAAGACGGGCCCTGCCCGGGAGCTGCAGAGGGAGCCAGCGCAGCTGCAGTAGCCTCCAGTAGTGCTGCCGGGTACCCGCACCCCTGCTTCTGAGGCCTCCACAGCAGCACCATCCAGGCATATTTCTCTGGGGCGTGGGGAACGAAGGTGATTACAGATCTGCTGTAGTATTTTACTGGAGAGTTTGATGAACTGGAAGTGTTTCCTTGTAAAAGACGACACTCATCTGAATGTTACTTGTGTGTGTGTAATGCAGACACTATTGCACTCTGTTCCAGGCTAAATCCGAGTGGATTGCTCGCGGTCAGGTGCAGCATGTGTATTTCAGCAGTGGCATGTTTGCCCTTTTAAAAGAAAGTAGATATACAAAACCTGTAAGAAAGCAAATGTTACGACTTTTGCAGGATTAGTGCATGCTTTCAGAAGCAATAAAAACGGTGAGCTTTATTTCCTGTTCTAGTCTTCTATTCTAGTTTTGTTGCAAATACAGTTCTACTAGTTGTATAGTGATTTAGAAATACACAAATACAGTATGCAGTAAATGGACTATATTAAATATATATTTTGCTTTAGTTACCTGTGGAATTTCTGAAGTGTACTGCAGAAAAGAAACTAGCAAATTTCCTGTATTTTTCTTCCCTTTTCACTTAAATGGTAAGAACTTAACCACAAATTGCAGTATTTTGACAGAGGTACCTAGTTTAACCAGTATTTTCAGCAGGTTTCTTTTAAATTCTCTGCACTTGGTGTTCAGGACTGGAATTAAAAATATTAGCCAGCTACAGTTCGGTACAGAGTCAGGCTGTTGTACAGCACAGTTACTATTAAGATGAGCTGAATAAGCGATGTTACAAAATCATAGAAATAATTTTGGTACTACAGAGGATGATTAAATAGTCTCTACCTGGGGAAGTCTTGTAACTAAACTAGTAAGAGTCTCTAATTTGTATGCAGCTGTTACACAGAGGGCACTACAGGGAACTTGTAATGTACGTGTGCACAAAAGCCTGGAAGATAAAAAATCATAAAATTTATTTCCTCCATTGATTACGAGAGAAATCTGAATTTTGCTTCCTTGACTGTCTGGTCAGCTGTGGGGGCTGGCTGATGAGCGGGATAAAAGGCTGCCCCTCCCCAGCAGTAGTCCCACTGTTCAGCTCTGTTAATGCTCTGCAGTTCTTGGGTGATTAAAAAGGTGCTGGTGTCTCATTGTTCTGAGAGCTCACAGCTTCCACTGTCACATGGACAAACATTTCTGTGAAATGCCAGCACTTGGGCAGTGATGGCTTTTTTAACTTTTCCAGGAAGAGGAAGCCAAACAGCTTGTGCGAGATGCCATTGCAGCTGGCATATACAACGATCTGGGCTCCGGCAGTAACATAGATATCTGTGTTATAAGCAAGAACAAGCTTGATTTTCTCCGTCCGTATGATGTGGCCAACAGAAAGGGGGACAGGTTAGTATTTCTGAAGCGGTGCCTTATCCAGGCTCTTTCCAGCAATTCGTATTTTCTGTAACGCTAATTTTTGTCAGAGTAATCTTGTAGATTGTAATTACAAGATAGTAATCTTGTAGATGAATTACAGCCACAAATTTTGTTTTCTTATTTAGCTGCATCTGCAGTTGAACAGAGCTGCCACTGGCACGTACAGCTGTGTGAAGGAGACAACATGTTGCTTACCTGCTGCCACTTCACAGGCCAAGAGGCAGCCTTGAGGTTCAGGCAGTTTGACAAAGTTTCACATGTGTGAGGGAGCAGATACTTGGGTTTCTTTCCCTGTCAGGTAGCAACACAGCTTTGTTCTGCTACGTTCTCGCTGACATTTGTGTAAGAAAGCCCAGTGCTATCACTGCCCTTTGTGTGCGGAATTGAAAAGCAGTATGGGGCGGTGCAGCCGGCACTAGTCCCTGTACATGAACTTGCTGCAGGACAAGACCAAACCCCGAAATGCCGCAACTGCAGCCTGTGAGAATCAGGCTGTGGTTTACTCTATTTCCAGAGGCCCTTTCTAGCTAGTGGCTGGAAAACATGCCTTATGCAGGATTTTTAAGACAACACAGGTATTGTTTTGACCACTAGTTTCCTCAAAATTGTCCAAAGTATACTGTGACAGTTAATAGCTAAAATACAGCAATTGCAAGCTGGTAGTTTTTTGTAGTTGGACTAATTTGAGTCCAATTTCATTTCATGTAAACTACAAAATGCATGTAAACATCCAGGCTTTTGTAATCAATCAGTCCTCTCTCAGTCATTGCCACTATGTAGAAACTTGTGCTTTCTTTTTCCCCAGCTCTGGCATTTGGCAAGCCCTGTCAAAAAGACAGATTTCTGTACAGCCCCCCCCATTTTACAGTTCTCTCTGTTCATTTCCTTAAAGCACACAGAATGCCTGCTGCATAGCGCATGAGGCTGTACTCTACATCCTTCACAAAGCTGACATTATTCTTGTTTCCTTAAATTTTGTCATAAACATTCAAGTAGGGAACTCTTGGGGAACAAGGTTACATTTAAGTATGTATCATGTGGTCTTGTCATACTGCTAATGTTCAGGATACAAAGGTGATGAAATTCTGAAGTGAGCAAAGCTTGAGTGGTAGAGGAGCCGGCAAATTTTACTCCTAAACACTCAGCTACATTGCTTGGTGAACTATGTTGCCTAATGGGTGAAATCACAGCCCCCTCAGGCAGCTAAAGGATTTTGCAATATATACTTTTATATGTAACAAGTTGTGCAACTTTTCAGTCCACTGCCAAGAGCAGAGTTTAAAGAAATTGCTTTTCCCCTTCTTTTTAATGCAAACACTATGGCCAAAGCCCCAAAGAATTGCACTGCTGCTGTTACAGGGCTTTTGGCTTTCTTACCATATAGCTAATCCAAAGCTAATACATTCATAAAATTATTTTAGAGTTGCAAAAAAAGAGTTTGTTCTTTGAGTGAGGGTACACAGCAAGAGTGTCCTACACTACAATGAGATCCCACTTACTATTTCTGTAAAGCAGCCCTGCCAGTTACTTAGTAATTTTTTTTTAAAGACTGTGTTTCCTAAAAATGCTAGTTTATCTGAAACTTTTTCAGTTACTGCAGCCAATTTAGATTTTACAGTAAGCACAGTTCCTTTACTTACTTTGGACTTTTATAAGAAACTTTGAGAGAAAGCTGATTAGTTCTAAAATCTTAAATGAGAGTTCTCCTATGAAGGACCATCTTCCAGCGTAATTTTCACCTATTTCTTTAACAGGTATGGCAGATACAAGTGTGAAAAAGGAACTACTGCTGTTCTCACAGAAAATGTAGCACTCCTGGAGATTGAGGTGGTAGATGAGACTGTGCAAACCATGGACACGTCCTGAACCATCTGTGTCATAGGAGACCAGCACTAGTTGTGCTTAGAAGCCTAAGGGAAGCGTGCAGCTGATGCAGAATAAAGAGGGTTCTGACCATTCTCCTAATCAGTGTTTTTATGTAGTGCTGATTTCTTTTGATGCTTTTTCCCTTCTTACACTGTTGAAAAGGTGAGGCTCCTGCAGGACAGAACTGCAGCATCTTGCCCACACACATTCCTTTTAGTGTTCCAGGCTGTGAAAGGGAGTTGGACTTCACCCTGAAAGATCTGTATTATCATGTGAAAGAGCACTGGGCTCTTGGAGCGGATACTGAGCAGTGTACTGTCATTTGGGGCAGAAAAACCACTAAATAAATACAACAGCCAGGTTTGGGTTTTTTTACTTCACTCTAGGAACAAAAGAGCAAGAGTAAAACTAGCAGAAACTCCACCTGCAGAATTATTTTCTCATTTAGTCAAAAGGGAAGGTGTACCACCTGCAGTCAGTTTCAAAAGATTAACTGGCACCAGTCCTTAATCCTGCAACAGCCATCCAGAAAAAACAGCTTTAGCTGTGCCGCAACATAGAAGGTAAAGATGGTCATACATCAGTTTTTGCTGGGACAACTGGTACGGTTTGTGTAGTCCATTCACTCCTTTTCTGGAAAAGTAGCTACATATGAGACCTGTTAGGAACAGTTTCACACATGTTTAGGCCCATTTTCATTGTGTGTTGTTTTTGGGTTTTTTTAATGTGTTCCTTAATACTAGACTTTTTTTTTTAAACAAAGGTGTGTGTTTATTTTGTAAATCATTTTTTATTTATCTAAAAATGCACAATTGCAAAAAAATTACCTTTTGAAATACATTTACTTACAAGCACTAATAAATTTTATGTAGCAAGAAAGTGACCAGACTTCTCAAGATACTCCAATTTAAGCTGAGCTTCCCTGGAAGCCAAAAGATCCTTTTCCGTGTTACACCAAGCGAGGCGCAGCACAACCATCCCTCTCAATGTGTAGCTGCCACCAGGGCTTAAAGGAAAGCTGCGGTGTAGAAGTGACAGTCTTCAGTCTTAAATCTAAGAATTGCTAAAGAAGCCGGGTATAAATTAAACAAGTTAGCATGGGAACATTGGAAGCAATTCGGTGCCTCCACTCTATTCTCATGCTGATTTGAATTTCGCAAGTCTCTCATGAGAGCAGCAGGCTCAAATTTCTGCTGAGAAGACTCAATAAAATGGCATCTTGCATTAATGATACCAACATTATTCACAGCAATTAATAGCTTTTCTTTGCTACTTTGTATAAATATTTTGAAATTTGATGGAAAGTAGCTGAAGATGGCACTGCAGTTTTCCTTTACGTAGAGCAAATCAGGTTAAAAAAAATCCACTAAAGCATATATATGTAGGTAACCCTCTAACCCTAATCTTATTTCAAAAAAATTAAGGATTGTATGCTTCTCTTCTTAAGAAAAAGAAAACAAAAAACAGGCACAGGCTGCATTTGAACTGTCACACACAAATCTACATTTTGGCATTAGCCACCGTCACACATGGAAGCAGCGCTGAAACAGTACAGGCTTACTCATTTCCCCGCTGTCGTCCTCGAGAGCGTTAAGTGCAGCCCCGCTCCTCTGAACAGGCAAATGAAATGGAAACACTTGAACGTGAATCCACGTTTGTTCCTAAAGCAGTGAATATTTTTCATCGACAGTAATGAAACAAATCATTGATTCAATGAATGAATTTAGTTGGCTGAAATTTTTCATGTAGTTAAAGAAGATGACTCCTTCAAATCAGGTTGAGATTTTATAAAAATTCACATTCTGTAAATTAGCTTTCACAGTTAACTAGACGGGGGCTGATCCTTATGTAGAATTAGATACACAAAGCATTTTACTTACTTTGTAAAAAATTTTCAAAGTGTTCAACACACTGCTTTGCTTAAGTTTTACCTACAGTACCTAACGTACTACTGAACGTGTAAAAGTGTCTTCACCAAAATCTAGTTGGTTTAGATAAACACTGGTTTTTAACAAGAACTTGTAGTCTAAAAAGACTCATGCCAAATGGGAAAATAAGTTTAAAGATATTTGCAGAAGCACTGCTTGGTTTGGCTTTGTTTGGCATGTTTTTCTTCTTTTTTCCCCAGGTACATGCTTAACTCACCTCATTGGCTGTAGCCAAGTTAACAGATAAATGCATCAGCAAAATACTCACTCTAAATTTTCAATTAAAAAAAAGAAATCTTGAAACAAATGTGTTTCCCACCCCCTAACCCTTCCCAGTTTCTACGTGTGAAGAGGAGGGAATTAACAAAAACACATAAATGGCTGCTTTAAAAGATAAGTAAAAACTGAATTTGCTATTAACCATTTGCAGAAGAGGCAAAGTAGCAGTTATACAAATTACACAATCTACTGTAATTCTTACATTAGTATAAAGTGATTTCACTGAAGGAATTATTTCAATACTTCACATTACAGTTAAGATAGAAGGGGTGTGTCAAACGCTCCAACACCCTCATTAATATCATCTATCCTAGATTACACATGACAGTTTTAAGAAAGGACCCTTAAATGATCTACATCTGTACATGTTACTTGCCTTAAAAAAAAAAAAAAAAAAAAAATCACTTGCAATACCTCACAGAATCTTCACTTTAAAGCATGACCACCTTGTAAGAGTCCTTGTCAAATAACCTGCAGAAATAATGGAGCACCTTGCTACGAGTGCTCAGCCCTCTCGCTTGTGTGACCAGGCACCAGTCGGTTTCATCCGAGAAAAAAAATTCAAGTAAGACTAAGCTGTGCTGGCTTCTTGAGAGCGTTCGCCGATGGTTCATGTGCTGGAGGTCCAAACATGCATTTGTTTTGCTATTTGGTGCACGTAACCAATGTCAGGTCTTTGATCTGGATCGGGGTATATGCACATGCTGACCAGCTCCCGCAGCTGAAAGACAGGAAGACGGGCACGAAACGTGAGTGCATCTGTGATTTCTTACTGGAAAAGGGTACGGGGGTATTCGTCCGACCACTGGAATCCAGGACAGGAGCTGGGAACCTCCCTTGTGCAGACGTTCCTGGGCAGATTGCAGGCACATGTCCATCCCGGCCCGTGTCCCCCCACCCTACAAAAGGACCAGGAAGAACCTTTTCCACCAAATCTTCAGTACTGAATATTTAAATCTTCCATACAACCCAGTGGATTTTACATCATCATTTAGAATGCGCTAGTAGAGGTTCCTACTAGTTCTAGGGGGGTTCCCAGGGGTTCCCAGCTCAGTGTGCCTCTACAGAGCATGCAACCACCACCTCCGAGCTGTTACTCCTGACACTGGGAATTTCTTGCCCCCTTTTTTTTTTAAAAAACCTTTTTCCTGGGGGATTTTTGATTCACTTCAGAGAACCACAGCAGAGATGACCAGTATCGTCAGGCGGCAGGCCGGAGGAGCGGGGAAGGGAGCTCAGCGCAGGAGGGCCCGGCGAAGCAGCGCCAGGCAGAGGGAGGCACCAGCGGCAGAAGCAGGATGAGGATGAAGGAAGGAAAAATGAGATCACTACCAGAAATCTGACAGCTGACAGGCAGGGGTGGACTTGCCAGTGAAAGTGGACTTTGAGGAAAGGAGGAAGTAGCAGGAGGGGTTTAAAAACGTGTCCTGAACAGAGCTCTCCTGCACAACTGCACTTCCCACACCAATCCCTGGTAACAAGCCGGTTCGAGGTTTTTGATGTAGGAAGTATAAACAGCGCTTGTGTATCTTAAGATACTGGAGCACAGCTGTCAAACACCAGTGTTTCCTAAAAACCTTTGTGAAGAAGAGAGACTGGTCATTGATTATGTTTAATAAATAAAATGCAGAAGGGCTGAAGTCTCCCCACCTCCCAACCCTCTTTATTGTGCACATGAAAGATTGTAGCTTTTAATTATACAGACATTGAAAGCTGCTCATACCCCCGAGGCACTGGGGGAAACAGCCTTGAGCCTCTGATCTTCTCACATCCTCCCAGTAGCCACAGTGCCAATTATTTTAATGGTAATTAAAAGCATGACCATACAGCTATCAAACACACTGCTTCAGCTGCATTACTGAATGTACCCAAGCGAGGTTTTCAGCTCTGGATGGAGCAGTGCCCCATGCTTCAAGTTATCACTGGGCGCGACGCATGTTTCTGCGGGGATTCCTGCAGGGCGGCACGCGGCCGAGTGGCGAACGCGCAGGCAGGATGGAGGCAGGGGCACGGTGTAATGCAGTTACTGCTAACCACCCTGCCTGTCGCTGTGCGTGTACACGCCGAGAGCGATACAAACCCCCGAGCCAGGCTATCTCCAGAGCAAACCCAACTCCACCACCTGGCCCTGGCCCACTCGTAACGGCTCTGCTGACTTTTTTTTTTAAAATTCATCTGAGGGCAGGGGGGTTTTGCCTTTGTAACTGCTGAGACCCCAAAGATTTAACACATACCTCAGCCCTGAGCAGACAGACCACCACAGAACACCCACAAACAAATTAAAATGTTTCTCTGACCAGAGCCTGTGCTATCAGTACAATTTGTCGAACCAGCAGCTGTGCTCCCATGTAAATAGAGCACTGAAAACACAGCCCGGGAAGTTTTGTCTATCGATGACCAGGACAGCACAGGCATTCCACCATCATCTACAGGGAACCAGTGGACCAAGCCTTGATAAGCACTGCCAACCAGGATCTCCAATTACTAGCAAATTTGTTCCTGATATAGAAAACTAATCCTGGCTGGAGTCCCAGCTCCTCCTCCTCCTGCTACGAGCAGCACGCCAGTTGATCACGGGAGGATTTGGACTGGTTAGCCACAAAAGGCTACAGAGAAGAGGAACATCACTGAAAAGGAACACCATTAAAGCAGGCATTCTTCAATAAATGCTCTGCCTTGTTCATCTAAAACAACTAAAATATTCATGCGATCAGCAGTCAGCCTGCAGCTGAAGCTTCGCTTTGAGACCACATTACTGAGGTGAAGGAAAGACATGCCGATGGCTCTGGAGCATCACTGAAAGCTTCGGTGGCATGGCATGGCCTAATC